GTCATCGTGTGATATCTTGTTGTGTGTATATTGTGATCAAACGAGATCCGGACACAACATAATGTATAGAGTAATGTACGATCTTGAATTTCCATCAGTATGTTGTGTATAATTCATTTGAATTTCGCAGGGCAGTGATGCGTCGGCACCCTATCTCAGTATGGAGTAGTCATTTGCCTGACCTCTTGCTCTACTTATCATTTTACTTTATCGCAATAAAAAAGAGATATTTAAATAAATTACTCAACATGGATTGGTCCGTAACTCACAGATGCGTCATTAGTGCGTATCATACAAACTTATTTATAGGTTGAGCATATTGTTTATAAGTGCGTATGCATCTAAGTATCCACATTACAAGGGCTTCCAAATGAACAGTTCAACCATTTCATTGGATGTCACAACTAAACAAAGAAAATAAACTATAAACCGAAGTCATTTGTGAGTATTATATAGCACTGAGAGTAATACAACAGTTGAGTTTGACTGCCGAGATGAACATCCACGCATATCAAGTGAAAATAGCCTTTTAGCATCCTTCCGGTCATTCTGACCGGTAAGTTGTAACATTAGTCCTGAGTTATTAATTTTTTTAAACTATAGTTCAAATCAGAAACCAACAACGGGAATCAAACACATGTCGTTTGACTCATGCACTCACACAAATTCCGTTTCCGAGGCACGAACATTCGCAGGCGAACTGATGCTCCACCGACCCCAATCAGTTGCTTAATCAGATCAATGCGAGCATCTGTGTCCCGACGATATTCAAAAGCACGGGATGTGGCTACGCATAAAGCTGATCCAAGTCCGTGACTTAATTCTTGATTCACATTGGTTTTCGGGTGGCGCAGCAACAATGCAACGCACTGTGAAAAAAAAGGGGAATTTTGGGCAAACAGTACGACGAAAATGATAATGAAGTGATTGAACACTGGTCAAACTATGGAGCCTGGCAAGAAAAATCATTACTCTGTCTTCCCAGTTGTAAGACGCTGGTTCCAGTGTGAGTTCAATAGATTCGTACACCTTGCCGTATTATTCAACACTGAAACAGCCGTAAAATCTTTTAGATATTTCCAAGTATTGCTCATTACAGAATTAACTCTTTCATAAACATAAAGAATTTTCCAAACCTCCAAACGTTCAACTGAACAATTAACTTCTCCTTTAGGAAAATATTTGTTTGATGATTTGGCTGATATTGACTGACGCAGGCATAGTGCAGAATATCAACGCATGATAAGTTTTCATAAATAAACCCGTTGCTATAGCCAATCTGCAAAATGCATTTGCCAATTCATGAACACACAAATCCCACATGCATTTTTCTGAAGTGCATTCTTCCCCTTCGTGTGTAACAATTGCATGCATGAATATCAAATTATACCAACGGATTCAGTGGATCCCATAATAACTTCTTGATCTTTCTTAAGGGCAATTCGCCTCAAATCATTTGTTTTTTAGTGTGTTATGTTTTATTTCTTTACTTCAGCTTTCTCAGGACTAAAGTTAACAAACCCAAAGAACCGTGTAACATGATGGCTTGTATCAACGAGAGTCATTTTTTATCTGGTATTATAAAATTTTGACCAGACCGTTTTATGTTCAGGAAAGAAAACTAAACCCGATGGTTATTTGCTCAAACACTAGCACAATGACTGTAACCAAACATCGTATCAAATAGTACAGCAGCGTGTTAGTCGGAAAAAACACTCCAACGGAGAGGTTCCCTTTAATACTATCAGAGAAATCACCAGCACGGTACAATTACCGCATCATTTCCAGAGGCGATGGACAGAGTGAGTGGTGTGTGTCCGTTGCACATGAGATTCGGATTCGCACCGGCATCTAGCATCAACTGAACAATTTTGGTAGCATTCTGTGTGAAGATAAAAATAAAAATGAACTGCATATCACAGAATGGTAGGATCGCATGGACGAATTCATGTAAAAACTGGAAACTGTCAGTCTGGTTACTAATATGTGAAGTGCACTCTTTGAAGACAAAACACGTAAATAAACGGTATAACTTCGAAGTCCGAAACAAAGCAGGCCTACTAATTTTGTCGAAATGCTACAAAATAAGTCGTATTGTTCAATAGCGTAGCAATGATTCACAAATGAGCAGTATACGATCAGTATGTCTGTGAAAATTGTCCCTAAGATCGAAATCGAAAATTTGTTTTTAGAATATATATAAATATCTTAGTTACTTGGAGGAGTTGTCAATATTAAACTTTTGAGCCAGTGAAATTTAAAATCTTCAAACCATAAATGCAACACATTACATGATCATAGCTGAGGACATACAACGTGAGAACCAGTCTTGCTTGAATTCCTCAAACCACTCAATGAGTGCGTGCCCTACAATTAGTTTGAATATATTTCGGTAAATATGTTTCCTGACGAAATGATTTGTGCTTTTACTTTAAAATTTATAAAGATTGAATTTCAATTGACTTTTTATGTGGCCTGCCTACCGCTAATCAAAAGCATACAAATATCTAAGAAGGACGTGTTGGCATAAGTGGTCAAGAAATCAGTTTACAAATGAACATTCAGTTTAGAGTCAAGTGTTGCATCAAATGCAGCCCTTAGATCAACGTTCAACTCACTTCGTGATCATAATCTCGAGCACAGGCAAGATGTAAAGGTGTTCTTCCACCCAGAAGAGCTCGTTGCTCCGTTGTGACGTAATCTTGTCCAGTGAGCTCCAGGTGAAAAGAGACATGTTGACAGTCAACGACACTTGCAAACCAATGACTNTATGCGGTGTTTGAGTGATTTATCATGAATGGAACAATGCGCCTTCAAAAAGTAGAAAGACTTGTCGCTTTTCTGTAGTTAGTCACTTAAAACAATTAGTTCGACATTTGTATCGTAATTTGCACATATTATTTGAAGGACCTTTCATAAACGTTTTTGATAAAGACATTTTATTCGAATTCTTTGGGAGCACCAGTGCTATTGGGTGTAATGTATAAGTTTAATCAACCGAACATCAGTGGCTTTCCTTAATTGTTCGGGCCAAGTACCAGCAAACCGTCCTGATCACCTTTAAGTAGCAAACGATACTTCCGGTAAAATCATCATTTGTGAGCAGCAATGGGTTCCATAGTAGTCTAAGGTAGAAATGTGGGGTAGGGATGGAGTCAGGAAATTGACCCCATTTTCAAAGATATATAAAATTTGGGCCTTTGCCTAATGAGAAATAAATATAAGAATATGGGAAGTTATTAGATTTGTTTCAAAATCAGCATTTCGAGCAAAGCATATAACAATCAGCATTTAATAGCTGGGTGTAAACAGAAGAAGCACGAACACACAAAAACAACGGTGAAACAACTATTGTTAACCTCTGGCCTCATTCAGACAGATTTAATCCACTTTGGCAATAAGAAATGACATTTCAAAAGCTTTTATAAGCATAATGGGTATCCATTTACGTTAGACCACAAGATAATCACTTATGAGATTTTGAACTAGATTGAGCAAGAAACATAGATCAGTGAAAACTGCCCCGGTGGCAGTTTTTTAGGAACACATTCAAAATTGCCCGAATTCATCGTACACAACTATCAAGCATCATGAACAGCGGTCGCCATGTACGATACAATAAGACTCTGCCAATAGAGATTGAGATTTATCCATGAAATAAAAGGTTCATTTCATCCCACCATAAGTTAAAAGTATCCTAATATTAACTGATGAATATCAGTGGATTTTTCTGATGAGCCCGTTATTTTTATTCATTTAAATACAGGAGTTATTCTTTAAAGTGTCAGATGAGCCTCGTCATTATAGGTATTCTCATAGTCAAATTGCACGAAAAGACACAGAGTGAACATTCTGCCGTACGCGAAAATAGGGTAGTAGAATTTATTCATTTTAATCCTTTCTTCGAAATCTCACAAATGAAGATTTCTCAGAATGCTTGTTCATAAGCCGCAAGCAAAAACATTTCCATGCCTAACCGTTTGCAGAAGAGGAACCCCTTAAGAACTGCTGACTAAAAATTACCCGGAAGACCAATTTCGACGATAAAAAATAAGAGGAAACCTGAAACTGAACTAGTCTTGTAGGCACACAGTAAGTGGGCAAATGGCATTCACTTAATTCTACGGCAAACACATCTCGCTGCAGCTTTACTTGGTAAATAGCCCGAGGCCCAATACTTTTGTTATCGTTCTAAAGATTTTTTATTTCAGTATTCCTCGCGTCATCCGCATATGCCATGACGACCCAATCAAACTGTAAGTAGACGAAATATGTCGACAACTGACGTAATAAGTGCCAAAATAGATAAATTCGAGTCAGTGCGACTTTGAAACCCTGAAAAAACCAAATACTCCGCATTCTTTATTGTGGAAAATAACAGAGGTAATCAGTTTGAACTGAAATAGGCGTTCGAATTCATCTAAGAAGATTACATCTTGAACCAGGTGTAATTTTAAAAACCATTTCAGATTCCAATACATACATAAATTACTTAGGTTTTTCTGAATCATTTTAGCGTTAGCTGATTGGGTTCACAACTCCTTTCTTCCTTTTCTACTAAACTGAATAGGCTCAACTCCCCAATTGTCTTGAATCCGTTGTTACATATATATGGATGTTTGGGCAACGGTGGCTCGGTGATAACGCCACAAATTATCTCCCCGGTTATATGGGTTCGAATCCCACCACCACCGCCTGAATTCCCCCATTGTGTGTATTGGCCGCTTCTCCCTTCCTGAAAGTTGTATCTTTGTATATTCAATAAAAGGAAGTTGAATAAAAAGAGAAATAAAGAATCGTTAATGAGGAAAGAAAAAAATCCTGGCACTTTGTGGTAACTGTGTTGTTCTACCAATCACGAAAAAGATATCGAAAATATTACCGGAAGGCTCAGTGAATATCTTTTGCTTAAGCTTTCTTTGAAGTAGATTATTTTAACTCGCTTACAGCATTTTCCAACAAGCAGCTTCGGTCTCACTGGACCAAAGTTCAGTGTCCACATTATGGATTTATCATTTTAGGAATCAAAGGAGTGGCGTAGATAAGCTTAAAAATTTATGATCCGCATTCACTGTAATCTGTGGTGATGAAAAAAAGCAAAGGAAATCTTTGACTCGATTGAATAAAATGCTATAACAGAAATATGGGCAAAGCATTTCTTCAAAAAGATTAACTCAAAAATAACTTGTAATCGTTTCGGTGGTTTGTTTCATTTACAGAAGTTTGATCCAAGCGATTACAATATAAGATCCTAAATACGTCGCTTTCACGGGTGACATCCGAGCAGATTCGACCCAGGCAAATCACCGATAATCACTATCAAAGCTAGAACAGCTTTGAAATGGTTTCAAGGTTTATTAATTAAGAACAGGTTGAATCGTGGTGCCGAGTCCGAATTTGGTGAACCGTCCATTATTTGTCACTCTGTTAACCCAAATGGTATCTGAATTATTACAACATAGTGTATTTTACAACACATACGCAGAACAATCAAAATGTAAGTAAACAAAAAACGACAACATTGCAAAGTTACGCATTGCTCCGGAACATGGATCACCAGGAGTGACGATACTTGTGAATGAACAACCGGTGCTAGTTAAGCTCCGTTATTTTGGAGAAAGACAACAAAACTGAAAGAAAACAAGGAAAACTTACGCATAACCTAAAACAGATAAACATATAGGATAAAGACTTTGTGAAATCACAGGTACTAGCAATCACAGCTAAGAGAACGCAAAAAACACTTGCAATCAATCCGCACAAACCTCACACAAACAATTAACCATCACACTATTGATATGAGTGCAAACCCTTCCGTAACTAAATAAAGGGATTCAAACATTTTTATTCATGAAGTGTACCGCTTATCATTTATTTTGCCAACATATCAGCATCTAATTCCTAGTTGTGGCGCTAAAAGCAGCACCAGGAGAATGTTTTCTACTTATACAGAACGGAGTAATTATAAGGAAAATGTTTTAGTGCTATCCAGTTCAACCTTTCAACCCCAGTCGAGCTGTATATCAGGTAGCAATTGTAAAAATAAATCGGATGAGCAACATTTGTTTACGAGCTCCAAGTTANAGTTATAGTCATTATGATTTACCCTGTCCTGTTTTCATTCGCGATTTGGCCTCCATGATAATCGAGAAAATAATCAAGATTCAAAATTACATACCCCGCTCTAAGGCACAAGCAACTCCCGTTCATTCACTTGATTACATTTGGCACTTTCACCAATTAAATTTCATTCAAATCATTGTCATAAAGATGCTCATGGCACTAAGTTGCATATTTTTACCTTTTTTTTCTAATTACATCATGAGGAAAATATTCTTTTGTACAAACATCTTGTTGAAATGCGCATCTAATTCCACAGAGTGTAATTATAACGAATCAAAATATGTTTTCTCGTTAAAATCCGCATCAAAAATAAAATCAACATTCATTAACAACAATGAAGCCGTTTCCATATTTGTATTGAACGTATGTGTCCTGGAAATGATCGCATAAACAGACACCTGGGAGATCAACTTCAATCGATGTGGTACTTACATTCGTTGACGAATTCTGACCTCGAGAAGATCCGGATGCACTTTTATTTGTGCCTCCGGATGAGTTGATTGTAAAACTCTTATCTGCTGTTGCTTGTCTACTTGGATCCGCCGAGGCTTTCAAGAGAAGACTGCAGATTTGTACACCTTCCATACCAGGTAAAAGGGCTGCGTAGTGCAAAGGGGTCAAACCATCCAAACTTGGAGCTGGCAGAGCATCTGGTAACTCGGTGACAGCATCACTCAATGCAGGCTAACGGAAGGTGAAAAATAAATGATTAGGAGAATCAATAAGTTCATTGAGAAGATACATATGTTATTACCGTAGAACTCATTGAAAACGATTGCCTTAAGTATTAGCACGGTATTCTCATTCGTGTACAAGCAACAATTTCAAAGGAATGTGAATAAATCATAAGATCCAACGACTAAATGAAAACAGTAAACCAATCAAGATATCGCACACCAGAGGACAAAATGGTACGTAAAAGTAGGTTAGGTATTGATTGCGTACTATGCCAATACTTGAAAAGGAAAAGGAATAAAAAGGGGGAATCAATATGGTTCAACAAACAGTTTTATGTTCGCTTTAATTTGAACAATCGGTGTACACTTTACTTCGATGTTGCAATTTTCTTTCATTCTTTTTTGTTTCCTTTCATTTGGTGTCTTTTTATTGAATATAGAAAGATACAATTTTCCTGAAGGGTGAAGCGGCCAATTAAAGGGCTGGCGTTCAACATACAAAGGGGGGAACTTAGGCGGTGGTGGTGTGGTTCGAATGCACATCCCGGGGCGATAATTTGATGGTGTTACCACCGGACCACCACAGCTAATATATTTCTGCTGTTTAATAAGAATAGGAAAGAGATTATTAGGCGATAAACGTACCAATTTCACATAGCAATGATGTAGAATGCAAGAAAATCGGAAATTTAATGGAAAGGGTTGGAATCCAAAATGCTCATTAATGAGACTGTCAAGTCATCTGATATATCCAAATTTTTGTAAGGCTAATATCAAGGACAAAACTAAGAAAAACGATAGATGTGACCACTATGAGTGATCAACGTCAACCAAAACTAACGACAAGTCACGCACACGTCATTATGGTTTTTGCCCAACAGCTCATTGAAAAGTTAAGAATCACAAATCAAGTGAATGTATAAACCAACAGTTGTGGTTCAAACAAGCGCAACATTGAGACCTTTGTCGCGCAGTCAAGAAATCCAGGTGTCTATTAAAAGTAGAGTATATGCTGCAACATGTCGGCAAGTACCCTCTAAAGTGCAGAGGTTTAAAAAGACTTCGTAATTAAGGAAACAGGATAAAATAGATTGTTCGAGTTTGACCAACATTGTCTACATCGCTTTGTACGAATCTGATGGGGCAACCGGACAAGCAATGTTGAGACCAGATGCAGGGTTTAAGGTAGTCGCGGTCGCCCACTGAAGCAAGTGGTCAACCTCTGTAGACTGCGTTGGTTCGGACTTGTGTTGCAAATGTCAATAAATAAATTGCCACGGCGCGTGCCATTTGTGAGGCAGATGTTGAGTGGAAAATCATCAAGTGTGATGCAACTAAGGCCTAGTATGAGCGAATGAATACCCCAAACGGGAGATTCGGTTATATTGGTTCCGTTATGCTTCCAGTTTATGCAACTACCCTTTAATAACCCAGATCTCAATGCGACCAAGAGACTCAAAAAAGTCCTAAATTCCAAAGACAGATCAATCAACTATTAGTGTACAC